TATTTGTTTCGATTATGTGTGATGCTATTAAGAGATAAGCAGCGAAAGGTGTAAAACTATTACGCCTATGAATAAAAAAGTTAGTTTGACCGCAATTTTGGATGTATCGGAACACTTGTAACGCCCACAACGCTTCCTGCGAACAACTTCCGGTTGACGATAATCTTTTAAATTGCTCATATTATGTTATTATATAGTAGGGAAACCACGCATTATACAATATTTATAAAGAAATGTTGGATTTCGAAGAATTTTGTAACGCTTTAAATAAATTAGTGTTCTATTCCTAACAACATTAAAAAAAACATTGATAATTGTTACAAGGCATGTAGTGATTATATTGCCTATGCTGTACAACAGTTTTAGTGTTCAAATTTCATATTTTTATTAAAAAAATGTTAACCATAAGCAACAAGAGCATAATTTGACGATAGTAACCTAGTGGTTCATTATACGGACTACGAAACTCAACAGTCGTGGGTACCATCTCTCATCTCATCATCTACCACTGTCGTGAATCACTCCTAGCACAAGTATTTTAAGCTAAATTGGAGTGGTAAACGAGAGTATTAGTAGAGTTTTATTAGAAGAATTTTTTCATAGTTGCCACTATGTACAGGCAGTTTGGCAATCGAACTTTTTTCATCGTTTTGAATTGCTGTCGGGAAGATGCTGCCCATGCTGTTTTAGTTTTCCTCTGTCTTTTTTATAGGATAATTTTTTATAGGGAAACAAACGAGCACACTGTCAACCTAATGGTAAGTGGATGCTGTGACCTATAGACATCTACATCCATCGTCGATTACGAAACAAAATGCAGATGCATTGTCACCCGTGAGGAGTAAAATGGAATGCCTTGTTTCCAGTTAAATGGGTCTCCGGTTCTTTAGACCACATGAAACACAACAGCGATGAGTTAATATTTTATGCTGATATTCTGGGAGAACGTTGTCCTTCCCCGGTCGAGACAACCCATTCGTGCTACAATTATACCACTAATATAGCTGCAGCATTGCAGTCTACCTAAACCACGTATTACGACACGCACGAAACCATATAGGGTAGAGAATATTCATACACCGACACTATAAGCTTATAGATGATCCAATACTTCTTAATAACTTAGTATCCTTTCATGCAGTATTCTTTTAATCTTATAAATTATTTCGCTAGTACGAGTGGCCTATTCATATGTCCCGATACACAGTTTTTTTTTATGGTGAGCCTACCACACAACCTGCATGGTCAGGCTTCATCGGGTTTTTTGTTTCAAAACGTCGATTATTCGCTCTGTAATAACTTTGTTTTTAAACGTTTAATCATTTGGCCGTCTATGAATTGCGGTTACCCATAGACATATGTGAATTAGGTTTTGGTATAATTTTATAATGACCTGTGTATGTGTGTGTTCTTTTAGCGTGGTATTATTTCCTAGAAGTAGCGGAACACATTCTGTTTATAAATATATATTTTTTATTTGTCGAATATTTTGTTTTTGATAATTTCAGGGTTGACAGGGGCGAATGCCTAAAGGCATTAAGTCCGCCCTTTATTGTAACCCTTTTGTTAAGATGTAAATAAATAAATGATCAAACGTTACCATTTGTCAAATAAACGAGCTAGTGGCAGTATCACCATTAAGCAACTTGGGTCTAGATACCGAATTACAGCAGCAGCAACCACCAACCAACCTGTCAAGCGATTGGTGGTTGTGAAAAAGTCGTCTGGGACTTTCATGTGATAGACTATTGACCACTTTATTTGCTCTAGGGGAGAATATGCTTCATATTTCGAATTTTAAGAGATAAAAATGAACAAATATTATTAAAGCAACAAGTGATTTTTAAAAGCATTTTAAATTTTGCAACAATTTCATAAAATTCAAACGCCACGGGTCGCCAATGCCCTACAAATTTAGGGTTGCCAATTGACTCCCGCTGAGTTATTCTGACGCACGCATATGTCGCTCGCGGTTGTAGGATTTAGAAATTTTAGTTATTGTATTTCGCGGTGAAATTATGACAGATTTTGTTTCTCTCTGAAAGATGTGTGCAAAAAAATCTGAACAGCACGGGTGCGTTTGGCAGAAAAAAGCGCTAGCAAGCGCTTACAAGCGCTAAAATAGTTTTCGGCCAGGACACGATTGCTACTTCAGTAGCGCTGACACAATCCGCCATTTTGCTTATTTAATTTGTTTGTTTTGAAGTAGAGTTTATAAGTTCTTTTGTGCAATATTAGTTTTAAGTAATATAATAATGACGTGAATAAACATATATATGTTATTAAAATTCATGATTGGTAAGTTTTTAATATGAATACTTTACAAACATATATTTAAATTAGGTTAGGTTCCCCGGTTAAAACTAACGTCGTGTCCCGGAGGAAAATAGCTACTTACGATTTGATAGCGCTTACCGCTTACGATCGCCATTTTGCTTATAAGCGCTTGCTAGCGCTTTTTTCTGCCAAACGCACCCCACGTGTTACCAGTGATGATATATAGATTTTTCATGGTAGAGCCACGCTGCAGCTACATTATGGTTGTAGCACGAATGGGTCGGCTCGACCGGGGCAAGAGCACGCTCTCGCGGAATACCAGCGTCAAATAGCAGCTCAATGCTGTTGTGTCTAATGATGAGGAGAGAATCCGGGTGGGGGACTCCCCCCAGTGACCACGGGTGCTGTAAAGCACCCGAAACGTCGGGATATTAAAAATAAATTAAAGTTGAATTAAACGCGATAAAATCCGTAAATAATAGTTTTATTCAGTTATAATATGTATTAAATAAACTGTTAGTTACCAAAATAACAAGCAATCATTAGAACAAACGTTTTGTTTGTGGTAGAGCCACGCTGCGGCTATATTATGATTGTAGAAAGAATTGGTCGGCTCGACCGGGGAAGGACAACACGCTCTCGGAAAATACGCTGTGACAGAATAACAGCATGAAATAGCAGCTTAACGTTGCTGTGTTTTGTATGGTAAGTGTAGAGGAGAACCTTTAGCTTTTTTTTACAGGAACCGAAGCATTCTATTTCAGTCCTCAGGGGAGAGAACACGGATAGACGTAGATGTTTATGGGTCACAGGTAACATCAGCCACTTACCATCAGGTGAACCGTGTGCACATTTGTTATTTAAGAAAAGAAGAACTATATTAGTAACGGACTGAACTTAAAAAATTACCCCGTGGTGGTGGTGTAAGTCACCACTCTATAATATAGTCTCATGGATATCGTTAGATTATCGGAGACAACGGGAAATTTCAGAAAAAAACGACGTGTTGCACTCCGGGAGTGCCGGCAGAAGCGAAAACTTGAATATTAACGTTGTACATTTTTGATATTTTGGAATGGTTAGGGAATAATTTTGCACGAATTGCTTTAATTATAAGTGTAAAAGTACTATCATTTATGTGGTAGAATACAATATTTATTTATTGCGCTATCGTACATAAACATGACAATTTATATTACATTCGCGCATGCGCCCTGCGCCGCCTAAACGAAACAGCAGGAGCAGGCATATATTTTCACCGCGCCGTGGAAAGAGAGGGGGATACTTCCTCTCCTACGCCGTCCGTCTTACGAAATTTCGATCAGGTCACATGTCCTGACGCGAGTTTAACATTTTTTACCCATTACAAAAAAAGTGTACAACGTAGCGGCGTACGTACGTACACTTTTGAGTTTGAAAGAAGTTTTCACTTCAAAAATCTTATGCCTTTCGATAAATGGCGGTATATAACGATCTGTCGAAGGTCAAAATTAAAGTGATAGCATTTGCCGGTTTCGCAGTGATCTTACTATGGTGACAGGACAATACTATCGCTGTCTTGATTAATTACGTGACTTATTAGCAGTCAATTGTTAACTATTAAAATTGAAATATTTCAATTTATTAGATTCCAATTATATACGCCAGTAGCGGCATGAGAAAATCCACCACCTCATATCATCCCGAGGGTGTCGCAAGAAGCGATATAGGTAAATTCAACAATAGAGATAGGCCATAGCGTCTTCTTGACGCTGTTGCCTGTTCGTACTGTTGAATAAACAAGTTTTATTATTTTGTAAACTCAAAATAATAAAGGTAGTGGTGCGTGCTCGCATACCAAGCGTGGAAACTATACATATGTCCACCTATGAGGAAATCTATGAGGGAGGCCTATATTTAGTAGTGAACTTTTGATAGGCTGCAATAGAATTAATGGATGATGGAAAAATTTAAATAATTACATACTTTATTCATATAATAATTACTTTTCACCAGGCGTAAAATTACCTAGACTGGCGACGGGTGGGAACGTTTAACGTCTTGCACAGCGATATTCAATCCAGCTGCCAAGCGTGATAACTTAAACAAGCCCTCCTCCTTATAACTGGAGAAAAATTTATCCATCTGTGGACTTTTACTGCTGATAAATAGTAACAAAACGCTTAAAATACGAATTCAGAAATGCTTACATTAAAAAAACAAATTTGGAAGTTAATATTACGTAATTATCAAAATAATCCGTATATTTTTTTTTGTATATATAATATTATTTTATAACCAACAAACATTTCTTATAGAATGAGGGTGACATACGAGCACTTGATCCACCTATTGATATGTGTTTATGTGTAAATTGGTATGTGTGTAAAGCGTTGTCATCCCCGAAGTACTAAGATAGAATACTCCGTTTCCAGTAAAAAGGGTCACCGATTCTCTATACTCACAGTCACTCATATCATACGAAACACAGCTGAAGTAACACTATTATTCTGTAAGAGCGTGTCCTTCCTCGGTAAAGCCAACCCATTCACGCTATTACTATAACATAGCTGCAGCCTAGCTCTATCCCGTAAAAAACTTAACACTTGCGTTTTATTTTTACAAAAATATGTATATTACGAGCTTTACTGCTGTTTACGGCTTGTTTAACGATGGACTTCAGCGAACTGTTGGAGATGATTTTTTTAACATTGACAGTCATACCCCCCCCCCCCCCCCGCCCTCTATCCTCCGTCCCCGGTGGGGTAGCACGCAGAAGTGGTGCAGTACCTCCGATGGCGGCGGTGAGCGTGAGGCCCTGCACGCCGCTGAGCGCGGCGGCGGTGGCCATCAGCGGCAGGCCGGCGCGTCCGGCAGCGCCACCAGCGCGCCGCCGCAGCCCAGTGCGCCGCCCCGGCAGCAGCGGCGCCGGGGGCCCTCAGCTTGCCGTACGCGACTAACGACCCTCTGTATTATTATTGTTATAGCTTTCAATACCTTTACAGTTTAATTCCCTATTCCTAAATAAGTCAATGCTTATAAGTTAAATTGTCCTTGGTACTCACATGCGGGTAAAGCTCGTATGGTTGTAACACGAATGGGTCGGCTCAACCGGGAAGGACCATGCTCTCAGAAAATTCCAGCGTAAAATAGCAGCTTAATGTTGCTGTGTTTTGTATTGTTTGGTGTGTATTGTGTGTAGAGAACCATCTTACTCTTCAGGGGTGACAACGCATCCTCATTTTGATTCTTAATTGAGGTTAAATCTAGATGTCTTTAGGGCACAGCATCCACTTACCATCAGGTGGATTGTGTGCTTGTTTGTCACCCTTATTCTATAAAAAAGTGAGTAACAAGCTGACAATTTACCTCGTGATAAGTGGCTTATGTAGATCATGGACGACTGTAACCTATATCTAGTAAAGCAGGTTATATAGAAAGTTAAGACTAAATGCCTGAATCTAAGACTAATGCTTATGATTGTACTGGACTAAATACAACCCCCCTATGAAGCAGTCTGTAGGGAAGCCTAAGTTATACCATGGACTCTTGATAGGCTGTGACGGTACTGTACTGAACGTACATTATTTGTAACCAAGCGAAACATGGTACCGCTGTTGCAGAATCAGGCAAGATGATGATACTTAACCAGATACAATTCTAGTCCGCAAACCTAAAGGAAAAATTATACTACTTATAATTATTTTCAACTAGCAAACTAATTGAAACAGTAACTTTATTTGAATAATAATTTATTCACCTTCTTTCACAGTACAAAGGTTTTCCGTAGTCATCGAAAATCACGCTGTGGACTTCATGTGTTGGTTTAAAATAAATTGAGCTTTGAAGCTACAAATGGAACTTTTCGGTCTACCACATCATTTTTGTTGTGGTGTAAGATTGCTATGTAGCCGTTGGGTTGCCTTTGATATGAAGGTTGAAAAGATATCTTTATATTCACAAACTCATGTGTGGGTTTTACACACTTTATCTATATGTATTTTTTCGTGTTATCTTTTTAGATGTTTTATGGCTGGGTGGTTATATAATAATTCAATACAGATCATTCTTTTGTACTTTTAATGGCTTCTTAAATATATTTTATATGTGTAATCTATAAAGGTAGTTAAGATATAATTAATTTTTTCTAAAACATTAAGAAATATTGGTATTTCTATGGACAAATAAAAAGTTAACAAAGTGGTTAATTCTTTTTGGTAACCAATAATTTACTTAATACTTATTATAACTATTTAATTTATAATTTATTTCTGAAAACGTTTACGCTGATCTGCAATGTTCGTTTGACTTAGTAATATACTCGAATAGCACAGCAAGACTGCTGAATTGTAGAGTCCTAAATAAGAAGTATATTCAAATATGTAATTTTAAGTTGGAAATCGTCAATAATGATTTATAATGTTTAAACGCGATAAAATCCTTATAAATAGTTTTATTCAATGGCAGTCGTCAAGTCTGCGTGCTAGACGATTTTAATCGAGAGTCAGCACGCAGATGCGGAATCTGTCACAAGTTCTTCAATAAAGTGTTGTCGCCTGTCCTAAAGAAATCCAAGACTCTCAGAAACAGCAGGTAGACGCAGGTTAGAAATGAAATCGGTCTGTAGTTCTTCAAGAGAGCGTTGTTGCCTGTATATAAAAACAGAAAGAAAAAAAAGACGTGTGGCACTCGGGGACTGCCGCGGTAAAGCTATTGCATAGCATTTTTTATCAGCTTATGCAATTATAATTAATTATTTATTTTATTTATGCAGTTAAGTCTTTGATATTAAATCAAGTTACACTTTTTGAGCGTGGTGACCGATAAGAAAACAATGTTTTTTCTCTTATTGTATAAATGAGAAGTTAATATTGTTTAAAATATTTTTAATATCTTACAATACATGTAGGTTATTCAGGAATTTTTATCATTGAGTTAGCAGCTAGTGTACACGCATACGTCTAGTCCCACGAACACAAACACCGTGCCGAAGTCTGCCGAGTGCCGAAGTCTGCCGAACTGAAACGACGTTAGACGATGCACGGCTTTCAACGCCACACCTCCGTGCCCGTCGGAGTGGGGAGCGTGAGGTTTTTTTCGTTACGGAATTTCTGGATTTGGTCCCCGCGCTCAAGGCCCGCGATAGAAGCTATGCAATAGCTTAAAAATAGAAATATATCCAGCAAAACAGAAGATGGACAGCCGCATCTTCCTGATAACAATTTAAAATAATAAAACCTGCGGTTGACTACACGTCTGCAGCATGGCAGCTGTGACGAAATCCTCCCTATGATGCAATATGCGGGAGAGGCCTTAGCAGTGGACTTTTTTAGGTTGTTAGAGAGGGAATGAGGGAGAGGTCTCAGCAGGATGTTTTAGACTGTAATGGATAGAGCATATCAGAACGCTGTCAGGTTCTAACAATTTCATTTAAAAAATTAAAAACTTGTGTCTCGCTAAGTTGCCTTGTCTTGTTGATATTTAACATACGTGTATTGTGTACTATTCCTAACCGTAATATTTTTAATATGAAAGTGAGGAATCCTATACATATTACGCTGTAATAAATTATGTTGTGGAGTTGTCTTCGATCGGACTATATACAATGTGTGAAGTTAGGTCGTTCGAGTTACCGCAATAGCATCGGGCGAGGTACGGCGGGTGCCCGTTCAACCCTGAAATGAGTTCGCAGTAAGGAGCTTACCGAGTGACAGCGAGGTTCAATTACAGATAGATTTTAAATATATTTCTTATTATGATTGTGTTATAGATATCGCAGGAATAGTATAAACACTTGCAACCCACCTTAAGGTATCCATTTATTTAATATTTGGGATGTAAAAAGTGAAAATATTACATAGAATTCACAGTTAAAATATGAAAAGAAGATGACCTGAAACATGAACTGTTTGAGTACTTAGGATTAAAAATTAAACGTTTCAAAAATTATACTTTAGTATTTGTTAATTGCTGTGTTTTATAGAATATCTCAACAACCAAAAACATACCACCCATAGGTACTGGTACATTTTGGCCACTATGAGATAAATCAAAATGTCTCATAGGCTGTTCAGTAGGTTCTACGCAGTTTTTTATCCTTCCCTTTTTGATAAGCGAGCTAAAGTCCATCTGAAGGTTGTTTTCTGACTGGTTACTTCAAACAATGGACATCTGCAACCCATTTGAAACAGAAAAAAACCATAGATGTGTCATCCCGAATAATAAGATGGAAAGGTCACTGCTTGTAATTACAATTAAATCACAGAAAAATTTGGTAATAAAGAAGTTTCATCACTTGATATACACTGTTCAATACATCGAACACATAAATGTTTAAGTTAATTCATTATAATTAATTTGTTCCTCAAAAAAGATTATAAATGTAAAAAATTGCTTTATATAATCAATGATAATATATAACATAAAATCTTTAGTAATGTATAAATAAGGAAAAAATATTTTTATATTTTAGCAATAAAAATATTAACAGTTTTCATTGGCAAGACTGAATTCTTGACCCTTCCATTTTGAACTTGTCTATAGCAAGTACGTTGTAAAGTGCACTTAATTAATAAAATGTTTTACTGGTTAAAATATTCTTAGCGTGTTTCATTTAATAAACACCACCCTCACGTAATAACTTCTTCTACTTCAGCTGGTAAAAATGAACTGCTGAATATGTGCCTATTAGGAGGATCACGAGGTAGGATTTGCTTTAATTTATGAAGATTGACAGACTGGGATGGGACGATCGCGATACAAGACGTCTGAGACCTTTGACACAGCTGCCCGTCACCGGTCTGGTCATTTTTCATCTGGCAAATACGAGATGGTTTACCGACATTGATCAGATACCTTAAGATAATATAAATAATATAACTATTAAAAAATTAAAGCTGCTTTAAAATGATAGCGGTCCTTCACCCGCTTTAAATATAACCAACCGCTAGGCAGATGTGACCGCTCGAGGCTTAAACAGCCCTGTTTAAATTAGGATAGGCTTTGACGAGCCTTTGGAGGGTGTTTTATGTATTCGCGTATCTTCATAACGTAGGTAAATACATTGAGGTTTAAATACGTTTCAGATAAAAAAAAATTTATAATGGATTTTTAAAACTGTGTACAATGTTTCATTTAAATGCTAAAATAAATTACGGTATCCGGAGTAGGTTTCTTTTATAAAATTAGAGTGAAAAGCGAAATGACAATGACTTACAGTAATTGGCTACGGCAGCAGACAACTTCATACAAAGATAGCTTCATACAGATGAATTGTCACCATTATGGACTAAGGTAGAAACCTCAGATCATATAAACAACAGGAGATATGGCAAGGAGGCGTGGCACTTGCGAACGCATCTGGCCGCAAAGCGGCCTGATGCCAGTTTCGGTAATTAGTCGAATGTCAACTTGTGACGTCTTCACTGCTCGTGATTTTTGACAAAATGCCGCGTTGTTCAGTGATTGTTTGCAAAAATAATAGCTGTATTGTGAATTAGGACATGAAAGATGGCATCTCATTTCACACGTAAGTACTAAAATATTAATGTTTTTCTTATTCAATTTATTAAAACATTACTGCGTGGTACTAGAAACACGATGAAAAACCAAATCAAATGTTTTCATTAGGAACAAAAACCATTGCTTGCTTAGTATAAATCGACCTGTGAATCAGCTGGTCTAATAGCGCAATGGATAAGTGTTTTACTGATACTCTCACTCTCACGATAGTTTTTGTGAAGCAGCCGCTGCCGGCTTTTGTGAGTTTAGAGATGTGAATGCGTGTGTGTGCGCTACTGCGTATCTATCAATTTAATGAACTGCACGTGTAGTAGTTGGCGAGTGGCGGGGACAAACTGGCGACAACAGGTTCCGATACATTTTAACTACCGGGCATATCTCCTGTTGTTTATATGATCTGAGGTAGAAACTATAACCAGTGTTATAGTCTATAAATATACTTATTATAGTACTGCTGCATAGACTTCTGGAGCCCACTTCAAACAAAGGAAGGTACAAGACTGTTGTCATCTCTGAGGACTAAGATGGAATACCTCACAGCCTGTAACTACACTGGCTCTTTATACCTTTCAGACCGGAATATGATAATGCAAGCACTGATTTTTGCCGACAAAAATATGTAAGAGTCCATTACCTACTTATATGGCCTCTTTTTTATAGAAGAATGGTGACAAACGAGCACACAGTCCACCTGATGGTAAGTGGTTGCTGTGGTCCTTACAGATCTACATGTATCCTTGATTACGAATCAAAATGCAGATGCGTTGTCACCCGTGAGGTCTCAGATGGAATACCTCGTATCCAGTAAAAAGGGTCTCCGGTTCTCACTATACGAAACACACTATTTTACGCTGGTGAGAGCGTGGTCCAGCTCCGGTCGAGCCGACTCAGTCGTGCCACAACCATAATATAGCTGCACTGAGGCTTTACCACGTATAAAACCTCCCAGTCTGATAAGAAGTCCAGCCACGTGGTAAATGTATTAAACTTTTCTGCTTGGTAAGAATACATTACTATTGAAAAGCGCATTTTAAAATCTAATTACTAGACGTGTCAATTGCGTTGCGATTATGGCAAACCAACATTGCTAATTACCGGGCAGTGGCGGTGTAAGAATATCGCTTACGCCATATCATCCCGTGGGTGCCGTAAGAGGCGACAAAGGGAAACAAAACAGGAGATGGGCAGCAGTGACGTGCTAATAACGTCTGAAAATAAAAATAAACTACGGTTTCCAACCCGTTTGGCGTGGCAAATATGGAAATATCCACCCTATGAGGCAATCTTTGGGGGAGGCCTATGTTCAGCAGTGGAATTTAACGGGTGAAGTAGGGCTAGGGTTGTGGTGGCAGCGAGAGTGAATCCAATCCCCGTTCCATCTGTTGGGTGTTAATGTGCAGTTACGTGGCAAAGGATGGAAAAAAAGAGTCCAGTACAGAGTCTCTAGTTCCAGTCACTTACTAAGCAGCTTGTTCTGCCCATTATGATAATTTCGGTTCAACTTTATATTGTAATGAATAATGATGTTGTCCTCCAAACCGAATTTCGGTCAGGGCGGCCAGCCTCATCGGAAACCAGCCATCGCTGTAGAACAGGATTATAGTGCTCGGTTGAATGCGCAAGCACAGGTGCATTCTCTATTCCCTCACCCTCATGGCCCGATGGACCGATAAACCGAAACACGACCGGAGAGAGATCAGACGGAGGACCAACGACTTTACGTGCTTTACGAGGCACGGGGGTAAGACACCGCCAGCATCCTGACTTCGGGCAGCCATTGAAAAGTTCTTAATGAAAAAATTAAAAAAATTTTTAGCCCAACCCGGGATTCGAACCCTGGATCTCATGATCAGCATTCGCACTACTACAACCACTAGACCAACGAGGCAGTCGTACATATGAAGTTGAACTGAATGTTTTGAATATATATTGCATTATCCATTCATCCATAACAACCTATCAAAGTTCACTAAACGTAGGGCTCGCCCCATAAGGCGCATATACATATTTGCTACAGTTGCCTCGCTTGGATGGCGGGCTGCGATCGAGTTGGCAACCCCAGTTTTTTGTGTTTTTTTTTAATTAGTTCTTCCTAATAATAACTAGAAATCTTTATACACTACTGCCCATCCGCTGGTTCCCTTTGTTGAAGTGGATATTCTTACACCGCCCTTACACGGTGCCGTGGTAGCTCAGATGATTAGCGCTCGCAGTAAATTTCACAATACAGGAGCAAACCGGATTCGATCCCCGCTGGCACAAATGAAATTGTCAATTACAATTTTAAGTGCTGATTTACCACGTGGAAATTATCGTGAGGAAAGCTGCATTTCTGTGAAAAAAGAAAAAATATTTCGAAGACATGCGAAGTTTCTTTCTTTTTTTCACTTCTTTTCTTTTTTTTATAAAATTAAAAGGGCTCTTTTTTTTTTTTTTTTTATAATAATTTTTTTTTTTTTTTATTTTATAAAAAAAAAAAAAGGTTTCCTTGTCAATTTTTTTAACGTAGATCTAATTGTAAGACTAGATAGACAGGTTAGGTGAATCAAATCTGCATTGTTGTCGGGCACGGTGTATATTATGAGGATTGCTAATATTCCTTTTTAGATTTTTTTACTAGCAGCGGCTAGGCCACATCAGATCTAGGTACTTTCTAATACCAACCTAACAATTTACAAATTACAGAGTACAAAAACAAAATAAGGATCGCCTGCGTTCAGAACGTCTAGCCACTTGACAGCAATTTGTTAAATGTACTATGACTAGGTGATTTATATTTCGTAGGTTATTTAATCGTTTAATGCAATACGGGTTTCCTTATAAAATTTGGAGTTATTATAAATTTTAATTTTTATATGACAATACTTTCTTTCCTATTTCAGCGGACAAGTTGCAGTGGACCTCCTACTTTATGATCGTTACAGCCTATCAAAAATCCACTGATTAAATACACCTCCCTCATAGATAACATAAATCATAGACGTTCCTCATATAAAGATTACCTTGTCCTTAGATTTTTCCGTTGTATTGTATCGAGGCTTTTTATCTTAGTCCTAAAAGTTCTTTTTAACTTTCCGTATTGAACATCAGTGATTTTCAATACGGGAAGTTTTTGGTTTCACCCCAGTTTTCGAAAATCGTGGTTTCATCAGATCTCGACGTTGTAAGGTCCTAGAAAGCTATTCTGACCATTCCTACGAGGATGTCACTGTGTGGTCAACCGTTTTTCAGATTTATTTTTGAATCCGTAGGCTGTTAACCAATAAAGTCAGGTTATGTAAGCTCGTTCTTTTACTTT